AAAAAATGATTCACCTGAAAAGATAAAGTTGCACTAACCAAACGTTCAACATAAAATGTACTTCACTATATGAAGTTGTAAATGACATCCACGTGCTACTTTTCTCATACTATCTCCCTAAAAACCACCCCTTCTGATTCCTTATCAAATTATCTCGTATGTGTATGGTATTTGTAGAAAATAAACAGACAACTATCAAATTATGAACTCTCAGTTTTTAAAGAAATTTTGGCAACAATTAACCATGAAAGATAGATCTGAAAACAGTCCAGTAAACAGCAAAGACCAATTAAACTAAAATTAGACTAAGAGGGTTAAAAAAGACATTTCCTTTAGCGCAGTATGATAGGGGAAGGGAGAGGGATGAAGGGGCAGGGCAAAGTGGTGATGTAAACCAAACTCCCAAGAATCCAAATCTGAGTATGTAACTGAGTCTGTGAGGAGGCGGGGTTGTATCTAGGAAGGAAAAGAATAAGAGAAAGAACAGCCATATACATGTAGAGAATGCTTCTTCTAACATTCCATGATTATGAGTTATGAGGGGATTTTAACAGAGTTCCTAGGTCCTCTATACAGGACATTAACCATAAAGAATATGCTTCTGTTCCAGTATCATATTTATGAATTGGAAGTAAAAGAGGAAAGTGTCTCAAAAAGGGTAATAAGATCACAAGCACAATTCTGGGTGAAGCATTGTTACTGCATTAAAATAGCAAAACAAGGGTAGAACAAGGGATGAAGTTTGAAGTTTGAACTGTCCTGACGAAGACTTAGAGAACCAGCACGAAAAGTTCTTGCAGAAAGGAGCTTCAAATACACGTCTTCAGGGAGACTCTCCCCAGTTTGATAACGCTTTGCAATGCTCACTAAAGTATCCCTGTAGGAAATACATGCATAAAATATAAAAATCAACAATAGACAATAAAATTTTTTTCAATAAACAAATTAGATAGAAATTTATTTAACGCAGGTTATAATTCATGTTACAAATATAACAAAATATAATAAAGTAATCATGCATCATAGACAATTTTTTACGCTGGATACAAGAAAATTAGAGAATTCATTTGGCAAACTAAAATAAAATATTTCAAACTTTTACCATTTCTCCTACAAAATAATGACAGAAAGAGATACTGAAACAAGCTTAACTTACAACTTCCTGGTTTCTGCCAAGCAGTTTTGACTTTACACATAAGATAAAATGCCACTGATTAATGAACAATACAGTGAAAAAAACAACCATGGAGCTGCAGAAAGCCAAATACATGGGACGAAAGGAGCTGCTGGTACTTGGAACCAAATTGTATATTTGGCCTTGTACACTTATCTTCCACATATATGTATCATTTTCCAAACAAAACTTGTGGAAAATGCAGTCTAAAGCAATCACAAAGACTCAAAGACTTTGAATTTTGGTCAGAGACATTCACTTATGGTAACACCAATTTTCCATGAATGCAAAACAAATAAAACGAACAAGTAGCATGCTGTGAAGCCAATCAAACATGGAGCATATCTCTACATTCTAAACAAGATGGAACTCACACATCTGCGCACAAAATAGCATTCCGTTTCCTTAGCTGACTGAAGAATGAGATACATTCACACTTCATGGGGAGGGGGAGTTGTGCTCTAGCTGAAAGTATGAGATAAAACCATGCTTTTGAAAGGAGGAAAAACAGAGGAGTAACTTAGGTGGCTCAATAATACGTTTTTAAATAATAATGTGCTCTAGTTAAAGACAATGGTTTGGAAGATTTTGGAGTCTCTTTAGAGGGCGAGGGAAAACATTTGATTGTTGCAATTGCTCACCACTGTATCCTTAGCTTCCAATCATTTAAAACTCCAAAATTAATTCATTGAGCAAAAAATAATGTTTTCAACTTCACGAAATGTCATTAAGCTTGACTTGTCCCCAGCTGGTTCGGTGTAATTGCATATCACGTGAGCAATAGGCAACCTCACGGCAGATCCATTATGTGACAGTACATGACTTCGAGAAACAACTTCATCGATCGATGCACCTCCCTTTTTCTCTGATGGATGAGAATATGGATCGAAGTAAAAGTATGCAATTGGAGTACCTGAAGAATCTTTGACACGGTAAAACCTGACATCTTCGTTCCAGACCTTTGGGAAAAAAAAAGAAAAGAATGACAGATTAGAATATAAAATCAGTATTCCACACAACAGTCGATTGAGGCACATTATGAAAGAAACAGAGAGGATTCTTATCAGAGCTAGACTATTCCAAAAAGTGTATTAGCAACATTGAAAAGGCCATTCATAACCTGGCAATGAGAAATACGGATGGAGCTCTTCCTGTAAAATTTGTGCCATAAATTTTCTCATGCAATTTAGGTCCCAAGTCTAATCATGGAAAGCAAAAATAAAACCAGGCATACAAAACTAAAAAACCGGCAAGAAGTTCACCACATTCTTAAAATTGTCAATTCTACTCAAATATTAAGTTACAGAAGCTCTTATACACATATCTGACCAAGGAATTAATTTATGAGGGATAGAATACTGATTAGACCTAATAACTCTTCTAGAACATCAGTCAAAGTAAATTTCATAATAATCGAGAAAAATCCTGATCCATTTTCATGCAAAAAACTATGTCTAACATAAAGAACATCATAGCATTCAGAGGAAGGGGAAAAAATATATATATATATATATATATATATGGAAACCTTGTTTTACAATTTGGACTACACTGGATTGTAATATAGGGATCAGTGGATAGGGGCGAGGGCTCTAATACCAGGGAACCCAACTCCCATCCAATAGCTAATGTAATATAGTCCAGTACAATTTGAACTACACTATACTTTTTCGTATATATATATATATAAAATGAGAAATAGTATTGACTGAGAAAAAAAAATAAGTATCGCTATGGGAAGCAGATGAACCGCATAAATGAAGCTTAAAATATAGAAGAAAAGTGTACATGCAGTGCACACACACACCCACAAAAAAAGGATCTCAAAAAAAGGATCTTAGATTAGATGACATGGCAACCTTGTCAAGTGCCTCTAGTCTAACACCTATTGAATTCAATGGAAAGGGATCAAGATAGAACCTCATTGATGTTGTATTTTGATTCCTGAAGCCTCTCACTTTCGAAGTTTATGTCCCAAATCCCAATGGTTCAAACTATGAGCTTCAGATGAACCCTGACTTTTAGAGTAACTCTTATGGTCCTCTATATCTACAAAGATCAAACAAACAATAAATAATCATTTAGCTCAATGTCCACGATTTTTTTAATTGGGAAAGTTTTCCATAAAAAAAATTGGAAAAGTTTTCATCAAGAACAATTATAAATATAGAGAACATTTTAGGAAAGCAAGACATGACAAGCAAGACATACTTCACACACATAGAATTTAAGTTCTAAAATTTTATCAATGGAACCCTAGGGGAACGCACAAAAGACCAGGATGCAGCATAAAGGATCAATCTTAGCCATTAGATAACATCAAGTAGGAGCTGAGTTTCATTTTATGATACTATTCATAAAATAAGAAAACATTGTTATTTCCAATTAAAGTTGAAGTTTAAAATAACTAAGACAAACAGAACATCCCACATAAATCCTATTCATTTTGAAACTGTAGAACCATTTTTAGCACTAGAATGCCCCTTATTTATTTATTTATCTTATCAGCACTAGATACCCATTATAGATTGAAGTTCTTAAGACTAGAATCATTTGTAGCCATTAAAAACAATATTTTGCAAGCTACCTTGGACTGCAGGATTCCAGGAAGCACTGCATAGCTTCTCAAGGAGTTCTTCAGCTTTATCAATGGTTGCCATTTTCACTGCCATGCTTACCTGATAAAAGATAGTTCCACCTGTAAAAGCAAAGAACTCTTAAATAAAGTCATGCTCCTTACCTCAGCATTGTTGTTGTAGTTGAGAAGCTTAGTCTTTTCCAATCTAAGCTTCAATATCTGATCAATTATTGGAGTATTATCCAAATCACCACCAGATGCACAGTTACATAGGTGCAGTATACTTCCTCACGCAAAGCATGGTCCTTAGCATGTTGCACAACAGAAAGAAAGCTAGGATCATCCAACTTCAAGATCCATGGTCCATCCTCAGGAGTCACATTTTCATGCCCCTAGGTAAAAATTAAGGTATAATGTATTTAATAAAAAAGAAAAAGTAAGAAACCGCACTAGACTTTATAAATGAGGTTATTAAAATGTTACAACCATATGCCATGCTTTAAAAATGAATACCTTAGACTTTGCAGTCTGTGAGCAAGCCCAAAAGCAGTTGCTGGCAACCCGCCAGGTTCTTTCTTATCAGTTATTAACTTTTCAAACTTCTTTGTGGCATCCAAAACATTCTCCTCAAATTTCTGACATGGTGTCTCCAGTTCCTACAATCAACACATAGTAAACAGAAAGGAATGGTCAACAATAACACCAACAACGACAAAGAAAACTAGAAAAGAAAACTTGCTAGTCTTGCATAGAGACCATCTGGCTCCTTTAAAATATACATGCTTCCTAAATTTAACAGCAAAATTTTTTTAAAAGAGACAGGAATAGAAACCTGAGACACCAAATTTAGAAACTTCTGCAACATCTACCCTTTCGTATTCACAAAGCAAATAAAGGGAAAAGAAAACAGGTGAAAAGCGAAGTTTCTTATGCCAATATCAGCATAACAATGACGTTCAACAGAAAAAGCTACGATACAGAAATAAACCAACCCAACCTTCTAGAATGCAGGCTGACTGGGAAAGAAAAAAGCCTTTCTACAATGCAGAGATCAGTAAAACAATCCTATGCATTTAGGTCTATCCCAGTATTACAGAACAAATCCCAGTATAACAGTCTTGTTACGATAATAAAGTCCTCTCCAAGTGCATGTATGAATCATCAGTTTATGAAGTTCAAATAGCTGCAGCACATTCTGGCCAGCATCTAGCACTAACAGTGGCATGATGCTAAAATCAACCCAAAAAGAAAAACCTGCTTGCATCAACAAAAATAAAAGCAGAAAAGAAGAAATTCCTACCAACTGCCAAGGGATTTCAGCCAGCACTGCTTCTGCAGTCACCTGCTGTCTTGCATGCTGTAGTGAGGTTATGCACTGTTGTGCCACCAACCAACCACAGCATCATGCATACTTTTTCTTAAAACGGAAAATTGACTTTGAAACAACATAATGGGCATATTACATGGTGACGTCAGCACTGTCCTCTGCACTCGTCTCTGTAAATAACGGACTCTCCAGCACCGTCGACAACGTCGGCTCCATCTCCCCGAACCACGCGAACTCGTCCCCGGTAGTGAGGATAGAATTATCCTCGGCGAGATCCGCGAACATCTTCTCTTCTGATCCGGGGAAACCGTGTTGGCCTCGACGGCGATGGCGGCTGCTTGGGTTTCCGCCGTGGGGCGAATATCTATGGCCAGCCATCTACCTCATGATTATGACTATGGAAGTATTAGTACTTATAATATAGAAGTTGGCTAAAACCAAAATTGATCTTTTTATCTTACAAAATTGATAAATTTTAACCCTTACACTTATAATATGACACTTTTAGTCATTTATCTTAAAAAGTTGGTAGGTTTAACCTTTTATCTTACAAAATTAATAGGTTTTAACCCCTCACCTTATATTATAACACTTTTAACCCATTATCTGTACAAATTAAACAAAATAGTCCTTAATTAACATCAGGTTTTAATGTTCTATTAGTTCTGTTAGCTGACTGTCAGTTCTGTTAACTAACTGTCAGTTTTATTAGTTGACTGTTAATTCTGTTAGTTGACTATTAGCATCCGTTAGCATTCTGTTAATGAAACTAACAAATAAAATTGAATTTAAATTTCATATTTTTATAACAGAATGCTAATAGATGATAACAGTCAACTAACAAAATTAACAAAACGTTATAACCTGATGTTAGGTGAGGGTTATTTTCTTTAATTCGTATTACTGATGAGCTAAAAATATTATAATATAAGGTAAATGGTTAAAATCTACCAATTTTGTAAGGTGAGGAGCTAAAACTTATTAATTTTGTAAGATAAAGGGTTAAAACTGTCGTGTTATAAGGTGAGGAGCTAAAATCTACCACTTTTATAAGGTGAAGGGCTCAAAGTTGGTTTTTGCCTATAAAAGTTTTAGTCATGCTCTTTTCTATCTAAATAAAAAAATTTAAAATAAATAGCAGTATCGTATACTCATTAAAATTCTGTTTCCTATTGCATTTCAATGCCAACATGGTAATTTTTTATCTTCATACTAGCAATGTTTTGAAAACCAGATCATATTGGTTGGTCGGATCGGTTGAACCAATACCTGGTGGTATAAACGGTTCGGTTGTATTTTGAGGTAACAAGGCAGTCTCAAATGAAGCAAAGGGTTGTTTTAGGAGTAGAGTTGCAATAGGGACATGCAGCAAGGATGTATATACCAATAGAGGATAAAAAGAGCCTAGAAGGGATTTTATCATGAGGAATAAGCTGTATAAAGAAATTACTTTTGTGAATAGTGGGACATTTTTAGATCCATATCCATAAGACTCCTTTATCTTATGCGTAGAGTTGTAGGCCATATGATAGGCAGATGAAAGTGTAAAGTGTTAGGCTATTTTTGTATTTTGATGATAATTTAAAACCATGATTTAAAGAGTTTAATCTATTTTTGTGCTAAGTGTG